GGGCGGTGGCGGCGTCCTGCGTCGCCTTCGCGCCCTTCGTCTCCAGCCCTCCCCCGCCCCCACCCACGTTCTGCTCCTCGCTGTGGGCGCGCGACCGCGTCCCATTAACACGTACACCGTTCCTAGAAGATGTATAATTTTGACTTAAAATAAAAAATTAAAAAAATTTTGAGGTGTGTAATGTAACCGTCAGAATTATATGAAGAAAAGCTAAGTTACTGACGTGTGTTCAAGCGCTAGATCGATGTTGGTAACGTTGTAGTTGCTGGTGTAGGCGGCCATGTTGAGGTTGCGCGGCATGCTGCGGCCGGTGTGCAGGCGAGGCTCCCCCGCGCGGTGGAAGGAGCGCCGCACCTCGCCGCACGCCGACCTGTCTGCGCGCAGGAACCCCGACATGCTCTCCGCCACCGACGTCTCCATGCCACTCGATATACGAGGTATAGTTCTATGACTATCAACAAAATTATCATCACTAAACATCCCCACAGAAGGGCTCGAAGCCTACCCTAAGTTAGGGCTGACTAGGCAATATTCAAACACAGCCCGGTGCGGGTTAACTTCACATATCTTTTTGAATTCCTTCACAGATATGTGGGAGTTGCATCACGATTTTTTCCTTCACCGTAAGAATGTCGGAAAAAAAAGTACATATGCAACAAAAAAAAAGATCTCGTATAGCTCTGCTGTTGCATTGCTAAAAGTCAAGAAAGATAATGTCCATAGTTTTCGTTGTTAATTAAAAGTTATTAAACCAATTATTCACAATAAACACCAAACGAATTTTTCAACTTACAATATATTTTAAAACAATCAAATTCAATCAAACTTAAATAGGTAGATTGTAACACTCACAGTGATGTGTGTATGGGATGCGCGTGCGTGTAGAAGCCGGGCACATTGTGCGGGCGCTCGTGATCCGCGTGGGGCGGGGCGGGGGGCGCGGTCTGGCCGGCCCCGCTCACCTGCACGCCACGCCCACTGATCGCACCCAGAGATCCCGTCAGACGAATTGTACTCGGAAATCCTACCACTGCAATATAACATGTATTTTGACTGAGGTTTCATATTATTAAATTGTATTACTTAACCTAGCCCAACAAAGGAAAAATGTTCCATTTCAGAAAAAAAAAGTACAATGTTCAAATTTTAAATACATCAATCCTATCAATCCGGTGGCCTGATATTAGTCCCTTCTTTCCTTCTTAACCTTTTCTCTTAAAGAAAGGATGAAAAATGGATTTGAAGGAAGTGACATAACTCTTGTTCTGTGCAACCTTTCCATCAATTAAAGGTAGGCAATGCCAGCAAATGCTGATGTCTAAAGCCATCAGTTGCTATTTTGACATATTCAGGCTTATTCGTTTGCCACATGACATATATAAAATGAAAGAAAATATTCACCGTTAGGTAGGGCGTGGTGCGGCACAATGGGCGTGTCGCGTGCGTCTGCCGCGTGCACATCTTGCAGTAGTGGCGCGTTGTAACAGTTCTGAGTGTTTGCTATCTGTAATATACTTTTTTATTGTAGTTGACAAAAAACTAACATTTTATACTTTTACTATACTTCAATATACATGTATAGGGTTTTAAGAATTGTACGCGCGGAAACTATACGTACAAGTGTTATCTACATATGTGTGCGCGCCCACGCACACTGCAATGGTTATTGCAATCGACCAAAAATTTGATGTTTGGATATTGACATTCAGTTTTTTTTTTCTTTGTTTCTTAAATATAATCAGTATCAATAAAACGTGATACGTGATATTTTTATCGGTACAAGTTTAACAAACATGAGTAATAAACAAATTACATGCCAATAGCATCGCTTTATCTCCTAAATAGAAAAGTACTTTAACGGTTAAACTCATTAGTCCAAGGCAAAATCAAAAAGTACCTAATAACTACGGCGATAGAGTTTAATTACATCTGCTTCGATATTAAAATTAAAAAGCTTAAATATAAAAAAAAAATAGTGGCTTGGGATTTGAACCGCCGACCTTACGGACCAACGGCGGCGAATGGTAAGGCCACGAGACCAAACTAGCATATATGATGACAAACTTAAATTTGATGTTAATTTTATCTACCTAATATCTGTCATCCGCGTCGAACACTCGAACGAAAATATCGAAGTATTACAATGATAAAATAAACATAACATTACTACGAGGGTAGGATATCCACGACATATAAAAACCAAAAATAATAATGAAATGCATTTTTAAGACTGTCTTAAAGCTATGGTTTATAAATAGTGTGTAGATAGATAATAGCATTCGACGATGTAACTAATAAATCTCGATCAAAGTTTTGTGCGCACATAACTTCAATAACATAGGTACAGTCACCTGCAATAAAGTGTACTTTGGCACCCAGAGCGGCTGGTTGTTTCGACGATAAATAGCGAGGAATGGCAATAAGTCTGTCAGTCGATAGGAAACCTTTGAGCCGGCAAGTTGTGTCGGGACGTTAACGTGCCAAAAGTAATTCAACGAATGCTACATAGAAGAAGAAGAAGAAGAAGAAGAAGAAGAAGAAGAAGAAGAATAGCAGCAATATCTGTAAACAACTGTTCCCCCGGGACTCTCTACTTGATCACACTGTGTTCTACATGTATCAAATTTCTGTGAGTTCCAGGCAATCGTTTTGGAGATACCTTCTTATAAACAAACATCCATCCATAATAGTAAAAAGTAAGTTAAAACAAATCACCTGTTGGACTGGTCGTGTTATGTTGACATAGGCGTGTCCGGAGCACTGCATATCACCCTCCATGCCTGCATACGATCGGTGGAACGACTCATTATTCATTCTGGAATAGTATCATCAAAAATATTATAAAAATTATTAATTTAAAATCGGACGGACGGACGGACGGATGGATGGATGGATGTTGAATTTTATCAGACATGTACAACATAGTCTGGAAGGAGACTTAGGCGAGGCATAATTTTTTAAAATCGTGGGAGACAGCTATTAATGTTACATATAAGTACAAACCTCATAGCATCGTTTCTGCACTGTGCAACTGCTTCATCATAGGGGGGCGGTGCCTCGCCCCGTGGCAGGTAATTGCTAGGGGGCTTCCATGCTGCAAGTGCGGTCTCGCACGTGCCCCCCATGTACCCCATACTGCCGCTTATATATCTGAATACAAATACAAGTAAAAAATTGCGCGATTTCACACACCTACTAAAAAATACAAGGCAATGGTTCTCAAAGTGTGTGGTGTATATTGTATATAGTATAAGTAAGATTCAGAAATATTTAATATTGCCTTATTATAATATTTTCAATTCTTGCCTTACTTACCCAATGCTAGTAAGACTGCGTTGATCATCAAGGCGCGGCGGGCGGCGTCTTTTGTGCGTGCGTACACGGTATACAACGAGCGCAACGGTTGCTACCACCAAGGCCGCCGCACCCCCCGCCGCTAGCCGCACACCCGCCTCACCCTCCGCCGGCTTGACTACATCATCCAGGCAGATGAACTCACAGCAAGTGTTGCCAACACGGAATGATCGGCAATCCTGCAATAGTGATTCTCTTTAAGAAAGTGACCAAATTGGAAAATTGGAAAGTAAGAGGTGTTTTGTCTTCTAAACTCAGAAATATATGTTCCAATTTATACCTTTCCTTTGGGTAAATATCTTTATCTTATTAAAAAATTTAAGGAAGAAAAACATCTAATTGGAATTTACTCTACAATGATTCTATAAATTTGTTAATAAACAGTAAAGGTTGGGCAGAAGCTGGGAGGAGGAAGGCACTGAGTTTACTTCTGTTTAGCGCTTAAATTTATTTCCTTTCATTAGAATTGAAATTGTTTAGATTGTAAGATATGGGAGGGTACAAAGGATAAAGTGCAACAAAAAATTGAATCAAAATATATATCGATTTTTGAGAGCCAAGAAAAGATTGATTCCAGGTGTTAATTCCCTTCCTCTGTTAACTTTTAAATTACTAACCTGTGGTGGTGAGCAAAGCACTGCTTTGCATACTTTGGGCAGTCCATTGTCACAAACACAGAGTGTGCAGGTGTCAGGACCAGGTACGTAATGCAACCCATGAGATATATGCCTCCCGCGTAAATCTGTGCATTCACCTTGAGCAGCGATACCTAGAACAAAGCATCCCCATATACACATAAAACACTGCCTCACAAAAATGCCAAGGTTCACGGTTCCTCAATTACTCACTGTAAAAATGCACAGTCGTTAAACACAAGACAACTTTTTCCAACATTTTATGTAAGTGGGTATTCAATTAATGTTGTTAAAACCCATTTTAAAAGGCTGTAGAACTTGTGCCCTATTTATTTCAAATCGATATTTCGTTCGCTTACTTTCTGAAATCTTTGCTAAAGATAGGGACAGATATAAAACTGATCATGCGTCTTGAGTTTTTAGTTGTTTCGTCTCGTCTCTGTTTTCGAGTTTGCGCTTTTGCATTTGCGATTTAGCGATTTACGCCAAATGACAAATGTCAACTGTCAAATATGAACTGTTCAAAGATAATTATAAAGTTACGGTTATGAGATAGATTAAATGATATCGTCTTCTAAAATATAATGTTTATTTTTTTAATTCTTCCTTCTTTTTTCACTAAATAAATGATTCTATTTTTTGGAAGAATTTTACGAAAAATAATAGAAACGTAACCAGCGGCTGTAATTTAATCCGAAGTCCAGAGTTGGAAGAATCATACATGATCTGTGACGTAAATAAAAAAAATAAAAAATTGTCAGTGACAATGACAGATGACAGTGACAGAATAGAGGTTAACACTGCTTTTGCTTGATTGCAGTATCAGCATTTTATAATTCATCCTTTTGTCCAACTTTTTTTTATTATTTAAGAACTCACAATAGGAATATTTTGTAAAGCACAGAATGCGTCTGGGATTAAGCTGCAGAATCTCATATAATATATTTCAATAAAGGAAACATCTATTACCAAGTTATAATGTTCATCTATTAGATAATTATAAAATGGCTGGTTTTGGTGATTATACTGGATATAATCGACCTTTCGGATTTGATCCAAACAGAGAAAGTAACGATTTATATGATACGCGATACCAACAAATATACGGTTATCATACACCAATGACTGAGGAATACCAGGGCCCACCGCTCGTTATGGACGACATTCCTGAAGAAGGTAAGAAACCAGTAACTTTTACTACATTTATTAACTTATAACAATATTCATTATCATAAAAACTGCTTTAATCTTCTTTTGGACTTGCTGAATTGTCACTTGCAATCAATTTAAATTTATAAATTACTCACGATCGTGCTGCGTTCATCCTGGCTGCGCACTTATTTAAATATTAGTCGTTTTATAACAATATTAGATATAGCCCATGTTAATTTTTGAATCTGTCCAGTAGTTTTCAGTTAATTTCAAGTTTATGGAACCTCTTTAAGTAAAGTTTATGTTTTTGTTTCAGAAAATAATACTTTTGTAACAACTGCAATAAGTGTAGCAAGTCTTGTTACAGAAAACCTATTGAGTCATCCATTCATTGTGCTGAGACGTCAATGTCAGGTATAAATTTGAATCTTAAATTATATATTATATGTGTTAGGGAATTTTTTTTAAATTTCAAATAAGATACAAATCATTTATTTATTATATAAATGTCCTATGTACATTTCATACCAATATAAAGAAAAAGTTAGTGTTTTGTTAAATGATAATCGTAATAAAAATTTTCATATGTTCAGGTAAACCGAGGTCTTAAAAGTTACCACATTGTACCATACACTCTGCTGCCAGTTGTTGTAAAGCTGCACCGAAGACAAGAGATAACAACATTGTGGAAAGGGATCGGATCCACTTGTATCGTTAAAGGTCTCAACTTGGCCGTAGAAGATCTAATATCAAAGGGTACCAATTGGCCTAAGTTAGTATACAAATATCTAAATTATACAAAATTATGTCATGAACAAAGAGGTTTTTTTTATTTTTTATGTTGAATAAGCTAACGCTAGACTACAATACCACCTGATTGTGAGTAAATAAAACGAGACAAGATCTTTCCATCTCAAGCTAGTAGTACTATGGTATACTCTACATTTATAAGTTGAGTGGTTTACACAATAGATTTTAACCTTAGCATACATAAATAATTTGTAAGTTTTGTGTAAAATCATAATTGTAACTTATTTTTCAGGGACATTGGAAAATGTCATTCAGTCTTACAGTTTCTTCAACACATAACTTTAAAATGGTGAGATTGATTACATGTTATGTGGTGTTTTTTTTTAACAGTATTTTATGACATTAATATCTTGATACTTTTTACAGTGTCAGTCTAGCTATAATCACTCCATTTTATTCGGCAAGCTTGGTTGAAACTGTTCAAAGTGATATTGCCAGTGATAAGCCTGCATTATTTGATGTGTTCCGAGAAGGATTTCTACGTATACTAGAATGGGGAACTCCTAGCAAGGGTAGAATGCTACCTATTTGGGCTATCGTACTACCGACTGCTGGATTGGGAGTATCCAAATATCTAGCACAGTAGGTATTTCATTTTAAAGTAGTTTAAGAAGAAAAGTATTGTAAAACACTTGGTAGGATTATAATATTAACTACATGCAATATGAATTTATTTTAATACTAGCTGTCGCCTGCATCTCCATCCGCCCTGAATTAAAAAAATAAGTAGCCTATGTGTTCCAAGACTATGTTTTACATCTATACCAAATTTTTGCCATATCTGATTCTAGAGATACCTTTAAACAAACCTCCTTCCATCCATTTAAACTTTTGCATTTATAATATTAATGAGATATTGTTAAATGCATTTAATCATTTATTCAAAATAATATATTTAAAAATATTTTTTACAGTTTGCTGTTGAGAAAAATAACAATAAAAGCACTTAGATTCCAACAAAGACATCGTCATGAGCTGAGTGATTCTTACAATTCAAATTTTCCCAAAAACACCCAAAACCCACTCATAGAGGATATTAATTTAAAAGCAAACATCTTCTCGTTCATTACTATGGAAATTATCTTCTATCCAATAGAAACTATTATCCATAGACTTCATATTCAGGTTAGTAAATGTTTTATTTCACATATGAGTTCTGTTCAGTGAGTTTTTTTGTTAGATGGATTGAAAAACTTAAGTTTACGTTGTCATTTCCAGGGTACAAGAACTATCATAGACAACTTAGATACAGGAACATCAGTTACACCCATTCTAACTGGATATGAAGGCTTCATGGATTGTTACAATACAACAATATCAAAGGAAGGCATTTCAGGATTATACAAGGGTTTTGGAGCGTTGGTCCTACAATTAGCTGCACACTTAGCTATTATAAAATTAACAACAATAGTTGTGAATGAAGTGTCTAATCTACTGAAACCAGCAAGTACCCCAACTAATTCTGACGGTTCAAATGTCTCACATCAAAAATACTTATTCAATTAATCCATTGGCTTCACACTGTTTGTTTTTAAAATAAGATATCAAGTGGCCAATGTTGCAAGTAAATCTGTTCTAAAAATGTAAAATGTTTTATTACATGTGTAGTGAATTGATGTTTCTAGATATTAGTAATAGTCGAATTTTCTTTTTTTTTGTTATAAATTATTTGGCTAGATGTAAGCATAGCACAGCTTTTTATGTAAGTTTTAAATTATGTTTGAAATAAAAGGGTTTCAATAGGTTTTCTTTTTTATTTTTTTAACTAGATCCTACATATTAATTAACAAATCCTAATGAGATAGAACAAACCTGCCTTTTAATAACCTACGCATAATAATTCGTCGACCGTTAGGAGTGGATATTCTTGTATTCCATCCATGCCGACGCACTCTTCTCACTTCGTTAGGCCTCGGAAAATAACAACGAACTTTAGTTCTGACAGCCGTTAGTAAATAGGAATCTGGCTTTACTAACGTATTAGTCGTAGGAACTTGTGATATTGTATGGAAACTTTGAGCAACGAACCTGAAAATTGCACATTGTTATTAATCAAAATAGAAATATTTTTTAAAAACTCAATATTCTTGATTTATACTTACTTAATTGGTTGCAAAATAGCAGTCATAAATCGCGACATGCTTATCAATGATCTTTTTCTTTAATTTCTTTTACCTTATAAAATTTAATCAAGAACTTAGGAAAGCATGACAGATCATTTTTTTTTTTAATTTTATGACCTGGTAACATAGACCTTTAGGGCATGACAGATTATGTCAGTGTAATAACAAAGAGTACATAAAGTAGACTGTCAATATCAGTTTCCTTTTTCAGGTACTGGAATTAGTTTCCTTGGTATTTTTCCTAGTCATCGCATATTGAATGCTCATTATTAATATGTTTTCAATTTAAATCCTTAATTTTCGGATCCTATGATAGATAACTATGTATGTAGTTTGAATTTTTAAATATTTAAAAATAATTCTACCAAAGGTAAAAGTTTTTTGTATCTGTATGTTATTCAACATGACATTACGAAGCAAATTGTAACGGAACGTTTCGTCTAGAGATGACCCTTGATGACTTTTTCCACATCTTAACGTAACGAAATCTTTTTTTCAACTTGTTGATCAACTAGTTGTTTTTATCGACAAAATGAGGGGTGGCCATCACATCTAAAAAAGGAAGACCTGAATATTAGTGCTAAAGAAATAAAACAACTCCTCCGTAATATGTGCGTTGAATTAAACTAGTTAAATGAAAAACATTTAACTGTACCATCAGCAGGTTGAGGAGGACTCAGTAGTTGATTCAACTAGATTCGTTGAATCAACGCTCATCACTAGTTTCGTCGACTGTCGATATCTAAATAATACCTATATGTGCCTATCTATATCTATAGGAAGAAGAACTGGATATCTGAATATGGCGGACAAAAATAACAAGGGCGCTAAAAGATTTTTTTCTATATTTGTGACATTTTTGTAAACAGTGCAAGATTAAACTATATATAAGTGTTATGTTTATGTGTTATTCAGCAAAGATATTGACGTGGAATAGTACGTATTATTAAATAATACTGGTGTCAACACAATTAAACAGTGCGTACTTTACTATATTATAGTTTTTTTTCTAGTTCCTTAAGTTAGAAGTTTGGTTAAAGACAATGATAATTGTTATTCCAGGTGCAAAATGTCAACGATTAAAGTATGTTTTGAGATAGGACACACAGCTTCGTTGAAATCCAAGAAGTCACCAGAAGGATTTACTCATGACTGGGAAGTCTTCGTGCGCGGCACAGAAGGCGCTGATATCAGTCATTTTGTTGAAAAAGTGGTTTTTCATCTCCATGAAACTTTTCCTAAACCCAGAAGAGGTAAATAATCCTCACATACATTCTTGATATTTAATTTGTTATTGAATCGTAATATTTGTTTACGAAATTATGACTTAAAAAGTTGTTTACATTTTCCCAACGTGAAATAACGTTTGAATATAGCGTTGAAATTTTAAGTTACGTAATTATATATAATTTTGTGTTTTTTCTATTTAAGTAAAATATTTAATAATTCTTATAATTTTAATTTTTCAGTTGTAAAGGAGCCACCATTTTCGATAAGTGAATCAGGTTATGCTGGTTTTATTTTCCCAATTGAAATATATTTAAAAAATAAAGATGAACCCAAAAAGATCACATTCTCATATGATTTTACATTACAACGCACAGGTTCTCTTAAAGATAGGTTTATTTTTCAAAACCCAAATGATGATTTTAAAAAGAAGTTATTAAAAGGTGGAGGTATAGTAACAACAAACAATGCATTTTACACAAATCCTGATCAGGAAAATAGAAGCAGAGACTCATTTACCGAAGAGAAACAACAGCTTGTAAGTAAACCTAAATTATCCTCGGAAAATATAAAAAAACATAAATCTAAAGAGTATAAAGAAGAAATGCCACATAAAACCAGTAGTTTTGAAACTTTATTTGGTGCTCCAATACAAAAACCACCTAAAGTCTCACCAGATCCAAAAAAAGTTGAAAAAAATGCAAATACACTCAAACCTCAGAAAAAGGAAAAAGATAGGTCCAGCTCTGATAAGAAGTCAAAACATGAACACAAAGAACCTAAGCCAGAGAAAGTTAAAACGAAAGATGAGAAGGAGAAATTAAAAGCTGAGAAAATAAAAAATCATAAGGATGCAGAAAGATCTAAAGATAAGCCCAGTAAGAGACCAAATGAAAGACCACCTTCCCCAGATTTAGTTAAGAAGCGCTGTGTTAGCCCATTAAGAAGGACACAAAGTCCATCACAGAGGTCTAATAGTGCATCTAGCATAAAAGAAGAATACAAATCAAAGCATTTATCAGAAAATTTTGAATCAAAGAAACCAAAGAATGAAGTTGAATCTAGGCCAGTAGAAGTTAAAGTTGAGAAAGAGGGTAAGGAGAAAAAGAAAAAAGAGAAGAAAAGCCATGACCGGGACAAAGAAAGAAAGGAAAAAAAAGAACATAAGAAAGACAGCCACAAACTGAAAGATTCACCTAAAGAGTCGCCAAAAGAAATACCTAAAGTAAAAGAAGTAATAAAAGAAAAAGAACAAACTAGAGATGCTTCACATTCAAGAGAAAAACCACAAAAACCTGAAAAAATTATCAATAAGTTTTCAATAGAAAGACTCAGGAAAACACCTCCACCAGAAGCTGAAGAACATGTTGAAAATCGTAAATCAAAAGAAAAAGGTGATTCCGAAAGGAAACATAAACACAAGAAAAAAGATAAAAAAAGAGATGAGTCAAAGGAAAAGCACAAAGAATCTAGCAAAGAGAAAAAGAGTAAACATGAAAAAGTTGTTAAAGAACCACCTCCCGAAAAACCTGAAATTATTGAACATAGAGAAACTCCTAACCTCAAAGAACGCTCAATACCAGAACCAGCATCACCAATATCAATAGATACTGCATCACAGTGCAGTTCCAAGAGTGGCCTTGTAAAGGCTTCCCACATAAGTACAGAGGATGTAAATAGCAGTCATTCTGACTCTGAAGTATCTCTGATTGCTGATGAGGAAGATATTAAAGTAAAAATGGAAAATCCTTCTCCTATGGTCAAGCATGAACCTTCCCCCGAACCTGAACCAGAGCCAGAACCGGAAGCAGAACCCGAGTTAGAACCAGTAGTTGAACCTCCACCTGTACAACAAAAGGAGAAATCAAAGAAGCACAAAGATAGATCAAAACGTGAAGAGAAACGTCGGAAACGAAAAGCAGCAGAAGAAGAAGAAATCGAGAGTAGAAAGGTGGCAAAAACTAATGAATTAAGTTTATCAAATGACACTGAACGTGGAGAAAGCAGTGGATCAGTATCAGCTGAAACTAAAGTGCAAGACAACGGTGTATCAAGTAGTCTCGGTGAAGATGCTGAGCCAGGTGACCTGTCACCTGATTATATGGTGCAACTACGTGGTCTGCAGCAAAGAATCATGATGATCAAGAATAATGAAGATTTAGAGAGGGTTGTGAACCTTATTGCTGAGACTGGACGATATGAAGTAACAACTCAAACATTTGATTTTGATTTATGTATGTTAGACCGATCCACAGTACAGCAACTTATACAGTTAGTAGGATGCTAACTTAGTTTTACTTGTTAAAGTTATTGTAAATAATGCTTTGGTAGCAACTGTACAGAGATAGTTTGAAATATATTGGCCACAGCAAGATTAGGCAGGCCATTTGTAGCATTGTTGTTACAGCGCAAAGTGTTTGCCTAATTCTGTATACAAGTGTGGTGCTGCAAGCGGTTATAATTTTTGTTACGGTTAGAAATAATCTCATATACATTTACTTTGAATAGTAATAATGTGACACTACTCATCACTAGAGTTCTGAAGTGCAATACTATAGGCATAAAGTTATAAGACTGTTGAAAGATTGTTAAAAAGTATTGTATATTTTGTACATTTATTGTATTGATTGATTATAATTTAAGTTAAAGAGCTCGAGAGTTTTTAATAAACCTCCTGAGTCATGATGACTGTGAGAGGCTATGTTTATGTAATGCTGATGTTGCATTTCGTGTTAACTTAATAGTAATGGTCAACACAAATAATAATATTTATTTCATATATTATCATTTCATTCTTTTTTTCGTTCTAATATATTTTAAGATTGGCTTTTAATTTTGAATGTAATTATGAAATAATTATATAATAGTCGCTACATCACAATAAAATGCGAGTTTTTACAAACGTGATTAACAATAATAATTTTTCATTGTTTTTTTTCAATAGCTCCCAATCGGCTATGCTTTCTTGCGAGCCTTTGTATATTTATTTTTGTTATGTAACTTATTATTTTAAATTATCTTTATTTTAGGTTTATATCTCAAAAATAAACAGAGTGTAAATTAAATGTTTTTTCTTCTCTTTCCACCTTTTCCTTAATTCAGGCTTTGTAAAAAAAAAACAATGTGGACAGGTCAGATATTTATTATTCAATGTAACACAAAATGAATGATGAGAAATGAATTTGAAAGTAAAAATATGAATAAAAATGAGAATGTAATATGAACCCTTTTATATAAGGCGGTTGATGAATGAAATAAAATTCCCAAAAATACATCATTGAATAAAGACACCAATGTATAAACGACGCACTGATATCAATAATATAAATAGACATTTAAGCGACCCTCAAAATATTATCCATCTAGAAAGCGAACGTATTCTCATTCGTCTGTAATTAATCGTTTATACGACCATTGCTATCGCGCGTGTTAAAATCGTAGTCAATCGTTACCAGATGGTATTAAGTCAGAGGTATGTCACCTTCCTCTATCCAACTCATTGCAATCGAGACCGGAGTTTGAATGCAAATCGTTCATCTTTTCTTGCCGCTCTTATGAATTGTTTGCCGCCATTTTGCGTAGAAGTCACCAATGTACTCCACGGAAATGCCGGCAGACTGCGCTGCGCCAGTCATACTGAACTCTTTAAACTGTTCATCATTAGATCCAGGTTCCTCGCCGACTAGCAGTATTAATAGAGAAGATGTTTTCAAATTGACGGAATTGTCAGGATCTCCATTTCCACCAATTTGACTTTGCTTTTCTTCCTCTATGAAATGGTTGCAATATTCTAATATCTGGATGAAGTTATGCACGTGTGGCGGTATTTTACGAGGATACTTCAATAGAGGCAGTGGTTTAAACTGGCCAGGCCGCTGCGTCTTAAGGAATCGTGATCCACTCTTCAGTTGTATTTCCAGCCAACGTATTGCATCTCTCGCCGAACTGCGTTCGCGTTTCAATTCGTCCAATTCTTGTAAAACTGTAACCAAAACATATTATATATAAAATTTTCATGATACAATGTTAGTTACCATACTCCTCCGAAACGGCTTGATCGATTTCTATGAAATTTTATATGCATATTCTGTAGATCTGAAAATCGGCTTGAGCTGGATCACAACTAAATGAAACATTTTTTTTTGTCTGCAATGCTATTAAATTAACGTGTTTAGGGACTTACCAACAGTGGGTACCAGAAATATGAAATTCCTAGTTCTTAGTAATTGCTTCACTCTCTTTAAATGTTTGTACAGAGAAGCTGTGTCTAAAGCTAGTAGAGATGGTGCTGGAGTAGTGCCGGTGCGCTCCAGTTCTTTAACTTGGGAAACCAGCCAAAGACGGCCCAAACGTCGTAGGAGACCACCTTCACGCGATTCCAACTAAAATTTCAACACAATTATTCCATTACATATAAGTTACACAATATTAATTAACAATTCAATAGAAATATTAGGCCAGTTAAATAAGAGATTCAAAGTTTAAAGTGCCATTCCTACAGAAAAAGAAAAGTTATAGACCAGGTATGTGGTTCTGGTTTAAAAAAATAAACTTACGGGTTTTTTGGAATTGTGCCATTCTCTGCTTCTCTTGTGATTAACCTTTGTGGTGATTTTCGGTGGTAAATTCTTTTTATAATAGAATATTTTCATGGATCTGTTGAATCTTATCCTCGGTACTATCTTGGCAATCTGGTATCCAAAGTCAATGAAATTGAGAATTCTAATGATATTTTCCTCGTAAACTGTTGGTTTGTATTTTACTAATAACTGCCATTCAGCTGCGTCCTTATCAAATTTACAAATATTTGTGCCACGCAAGTTGATATCTTCAGGCAACGGTATAGTCTTATATTCAAGTTTCAACTTTTTAACAAGAACTTTCGCATAATTTAAGATTTTACAATCCTCATTTGGATGCTTATCATGGTTTTTATAGTTAAAATAATGTAAAAATATATTCAACAAATCCACGACACATTGAAATAGTGATTCACCACTTTCACCACAAGAAAGTATAAGATCTTTTTCTAAAAGTACCCAATCTAGTAATAATTTTATACTGGACAAGAAATTATCACCCATTAGAAAATTTTGTATTCCTTCAATATCTAATTTAGTGTCAACATCTTGGATACTTTTTATATTATTCTCATCTGATTTAATTATTGGCTCCTTTACAATGGTTTCTTTCATTTCTTTATGGTCATCATCATTGCCATTCAGCGGAATATCTTCACTATCGGTGTCTTCGTAAACTGACCCTTCACTTTTTGAGTTATCATCTGACTCATATGTGGAATCAGATATTTCATCCTCTGATTCCGATTTATCTGTATCCACTTCACTACTTTCAGTATCTGCATCGGTGATATCAGAACTACCAGAAGACATAATACGACGTCGCCTCCTTCGTTTGCTCAAAGACTTCTTGATTTTTGCATCTCCATTCAATTGTTTCGGTTCTTCTGTATCCAATTTGTCTTTTAAGTCTTCTTCATTTTTAATATTATTGTTATTTTTATTCCCATTTATTATAACATTGTCTTCTTGTTGAATAACTTCTTCGGTTACGTTTTTGTCTCCTTCTTTTAGTTGCTGTAGTTGAACTCTCGGTCTATATTGGTACGCTGGGCTTTTTAATCCAAGTGACTCTAAATGCTTATGTAACTTTTGCAACAGTTGAGCTAAAAAGGCTAAAGTAAAAGCTTTACAAGCAAATGCCTTGGGTTCATCTGTTTCAACCAGTTTTGCATTTGTAAAAAGACATATTTCAACAATGTTGTGAATCATACTAGAATTTAAATATGATGGATTGATTTGTTCTTCTTCGAAAGCCTGCATATGTTCTGAATAATTTTTATTAATATCCGGTAAGGGATTTACACTAAAATCCATTCCAATTTTGAGTTTTTGTGCTATATTATTGCACAATTTTGGAACATTAGTATCATCTTTGCTAAGAAACCATATTTCAGTGAGAGAAAGAAATTCTGCAATAGTATTTTGAACATGTTCAGTCTGTGTACAAGTCTCCGAGTCATTAATTGTTTCTAGAAATTGATTGTTCTTTTCAAATATTTTAAGCAAATTTCCTATGGCTCCTTCAAAGGGCGATACAGAGCTCAAACAGTGAATATAATGAGAGACTGAATCCAAATTGTAATTTTTGTCAAGGAATAAATTTCCTAACTGATTGTATGGCATGCCTGATGACAAATCTATTTGTGCAGCTTGCAAGTAGTAACGGGCTGCTATTGAAGGATCAAAAGTATTGGACATTTCAGCTTGATAGCGGCACAGATCACCCAGATAAATCAAACAGGAAAAAAGAGAGGATTTAGCAAATTGCAGCTCATCTTCTTGAATCTTTTCTTTTATATTTTCATTCTCTTCATCAACATCTAAAGGTGTATAGTCCAATTCTTTAATCCTCACTTTCATTTCACATTCTATTCTTGTTATGATATGATGGAAATGTCCAATACCACTCATGATATGAGTATATAAATATCCGTCAAATTCATTATTAGACTCCCTAAACTTTTTTGCAGCACACACTGTCTCATAGTAAACTTTTCGCCACAGCAGTTCCAGCGATTTCTTTCCATAGTTTAAAGGGTCGCAAAAAAATAGTTTTTCGCAATTTTCACGCAGTTTTTGTCTCTGTACTTCGATATTTGTTGTAAACAAATCCGATAAACTTGCACATTGAGTTGTTGCCTCCCCAATACGTCTCGACACATCACTCACATACCTGCAAAAAATGTAACATTTGACACGTTTTTATTCAAAGTATTCTTGTCTGATATATATATATATATATATTTACAGTTATTACGAAACTAAAGATTTACTTTTACAAATGTAGACGAAGGGAAAGTAGATAAATGCGAAGCAGATCTAATCCAGACGTGGAGTTAAAAGGATTATACTAACCGATAAACTTTCTTAGCTCGTTCATCTCGTTCGGCTATCTTAGCCTCCAGATGTTCATTACATCCGTTTTTCATTTTTCAAGTCATTTTACCTTTACGAAATCATCAAGATGTTAATTTGAAAAACACTTCTAGACAATTAAAAATGTCAACAATATTGAATAGATAACTCATTTCACCATTAATGGCATTTACTCTTTGTCATAATACCAAAATCACAAAAAATTTGTAAGTTTTGCTAGGTTATTCCAGTTGCCAGTTGCTGTTCCAGTTGATTAGCAATAGTGATGTCGCATGGTTATATACTCTTTGGGTTCATATTTGATAAAAAAAAATATAAGCAAAATGAAGCCCGAAAATGTCTGACAACATTTTAATAAGATGGCGTTCAATAAATTAGCGAAAGTTTTTCAAAAAGAGTACACAAATTATGTGGTTTTCTATTGCACTTATAAGCTTTTACGGGATAGGTTATTTTTCTAAAGTACACGAAATCATCATGTTTTTCAATTTTCAGCACTATTCTGTATTTTTTGACATTTGAGACGATAGTTACTTTTTTACTCTTTGCAATTTTGGGTTTGCTTGTCAATTTTATGTCATGTCATGACAGATTCGCTTACTTTTCCATTTGAATTGTTTGGTAAGAAAATATTTTTGTTTTACCCAAACCTAAATCAATTAAATACACACTACATAAATAATTAAAATTTGATCTGATGATGTTTCCCGAATTGTTTTGATTTAGAAAAATTTAGCTTTGTCACTGTTTTAAATACTTAATTGAATAATGGATCCATCAGAGAATCAATCGTATGTATTTTTGGGTGTAAAAGTAAAACCCGGGCCAATTGAACGCTACAAACTTGATAATTTTACGCTCGAAAACAAAGTTATAAACTTGAAAGCTGAGGCAGAGAAAAGAGTGAGAGAGCCATCCTCTTCCTTAGGTATGTAATTCATTGTTATTGTGAAAAATGAATATTTTTATATCAGACTGTTACCCATGTGGAATTAAAAAAACTAGCAAATTAGTATTTGTGTTGC